TCAACTGGCGGAGGTACGAGACCAAAACTGAGACCAAGCTCTCTTTGGTCAATGTCGTCCAGACAAGTTCAAGTCAGCCAAAGCACCAGGTCCAGACAAGATCCACAATGAAATAACCAACCCCCTCAGTAGAAAAGCGAAACAAAAACTGTAAGATCTCATAAACAAAGCATGGACAACAGGAGCCCTGTAAATGGCATGAAAAGAGGCAACAATAATCCATATTCCCAAAGATGGTGGAAAACAATAATCAATATTCCCAAAGATGGTGGAAAACAATAATCCATATTCCCAAAGATGGTGGAAAACAATAATCCATATTCCCAAAGATGGTAAACCAGTAAACCAGGCAATCTTTCGTCGAGCTATCGCCGCTATCCCTAACATTGTATTTCGGGAAAATAGCTGATCGAATGGTGAACGCACGACTCCACTCGTTTCTTAAATGAAATAAGAGCTTACTACTGACACAAGACGGCTTCCGCAAAGGACGCCAGCCGATAGAAAAAGTTTATCGTTTTTTCCAAACCATTACCATCGAACTCCATTTTGGTATTCACTGACTCACTGTCCGACCAGTGTGGTCTTCACTGACTCACTGATGCTCTTGAATCCGTGGAAATGAGCTCGATGGAGTCAACAGTAATCAACGCCATTCTGAAGACAGTAGACGACGCCCATGCACGTGGCGGTGTGATCATCCTCCAATATGTCCTTTGTCACGTTGAAGGGGACGCAAAACGAGAGAGCAGACACCCTTGCGCGAGATGGTGCAGCCCACCCATAACGTGAACGGCCCATGACTGCAATGGGTGTCAAAACCTGGCTCAACGAACGCTTTCTCGAAGAGTGGCTTAACATGCCACGGCCGTGTAAGAGCGACCCGTGGTGGAAATCGACACATAAAAAGACAAATCCTCATTATGCAGATACGAACCGAGCACTGCCCTACACGAAGCCAGCTACGTACCCTTGACTCACGGAGGGAGGCTAACTGTCGACTCTGTAACTCGGCCGCCGGAATAGTTTGAAAACCTTATTGCAGTATTTGCAGAGAGACCCAAAACCGAGGAGGTTTGGGCAGGTCAAAACCGGAAACCTGTGTTAATTCTTTAATTTATGTCGACGCCCACTTGATGAGGTTTTCCTGTGACGTGCTAGGCAAGGCCTTGATGTGGCTTTCCTGTGATGTGCTAGCCAAGGCCTTGATGAGGCTTTCCTGTGATGTGCTAGCCAAGGCTTTGCTGAGGCTTTCCTGTGATGTGCTAGCCAAGGCCTTGCTGAGGCTTTTCTATGATGTGCTAGCCAAGGCCTTGATAAGGCTTCCCTGTGATGTGCTAGCCAAGGCTTTCCTGTGATGTGCTAGCCAAGGCCCTGAGGCTTTCCTGTGATGGGCTAGCCAAGGCCTTGATGAGGCTTTCCTGTGATGTGCTAGCCAATGCCTTGATGAGGCTTTCCTGTGATGTGCTAGCCAAAGCCTTGTGAGGCTTTCCTTGATGTGCTAGCCAAGGTCTTGCTGAGGCTTTCCTGTGATGTGCTAGACAAGGCCTTGATGAGGCTTTCCTGTGATGTGCTAGCCAAGGCCTTGATGAGGCTTTCCTGTGATGTGCTAGCCAATGCCTTGATGAGGCTTTCCTGTGATGTGCTGGCCAAGGCCTTGATGAGGCTTTCCTGTGATGTGCTAGCCCAGGCTTGGTGAGGCTTTCCTGTGATATGTGTGATGATCTGGAGCTGGACTTTATAAAATTTCTTTCCCCTCAACTAAGCCTTTGAATACCCTGTATTATAACCCCATTCCCTCCCTATGTTTTGCCCCGCAGTAGACTAACCCGAGTGGTTTCCCTTTGTGTGATGACATTTCTACTCAAGGCTGCTCATCCCAAAAAGCGTGAAATTTGTGTTCGCTCCTCCTGGACACTGAACCTTGAGAAATTAATACCGTCACCCCCCTCATTTCTGCCCTGGAGACAACTAAGCGGAGTAGCGCCCCTTAGTTGTTATTGCATTTCTGTACCAGTTTTGCTCACGCATAAGCGTGAATTTGGATTTTCACTTCACCCCGAAAAACCTTGTGGGTAGGAGTTCAAACCCGCTACATCGAAAGTGATTGTCATTGGATGGAAAAACATAGAACTTTGAATCACCCAATTGAATTATCACCTAATCGCCACCCAACTCGAATAAATAGTCTGAACAAGCAACAGTCTGTCTTTTATGATCATGCTCACTTGACCGTGAACGCCTGAAGGATCTGGACTTAGAAACTTATCTAGCGTGATTCATAACTGCAACCTAGGACTTGGCAAGTACACGTCTTTAAGATCTGATCACTCAGTTGTGAACGCTTGAAGTAACTGGACTTAGTACTTCACTAGCGAGATACTTAACTGCGACTGCTACCTAGAGTACTAGTAAGTACGCAACCATGATTTTGGTATCATGTTACTGCCCATGTATTTATATTATTCGTTCGTGTTTGATCTTATTCTAATAATGCCTATATTCATCTATATTGATATTATGAATTCTATTATTGATTCCTGCCGCGTGCTACGACCCGCCGCCATTCCATCATGGGAATGGTAGGTGTTGCTCTAAAGTGCACATGTCTCTTTTAAAAAGAAGACAATATGAATATCATGTACCTATAATTTTAATGATTGTTAATACTACCATGTCCCATACTTTATTAATTGAAATGTTTGCTTGGTCCAACATTGTCGCGAAGCAAGATCTGCTTACGCTGACAATGATCAGACTTATAGTCCCATCCACCATTTGGAAGTAAATGCACGAGCTATGTCACCTTCCATACATCGATCTGAATTCGTTGCTAGTGGAACGGGACTTATAAGCTTATGGCTATTCGCTTGGATACTTATCCAATCTTGTATCTTGTATCTTTTGCCTTTAGCCTGGTTTCCATTACTGGACCGACTTACCTTGAGCTGAAGCTAGGGGATTGATCTACATCCTACACCAAACTACCTGTCAGCTACCAAAAGGACTTCGAGTTCCAGTGACTCTCGCTACCACGAGTCATCGCGGGAGAGTCATTTTCCCCATCGCAGACATTCCACGGAATCTACGACCGGGAACTCCGACTTCGCTACGCCTGGAACAGCTACGAAGGCCGGATCAGGGACACGCTTCTGGAACAGAAGGGACTCCCACACTGTTTGATCCACCGAGACCATCACAGAAACTATAAAGGCTAAGTTTATCAAGATCGAGCATATAACTTGAGCAATATAGCAGTAGTGATGATACCGTCTGTATGTTAGGGACACTTGCTTTGTGTTGATATACCTTTCTATTTGGATGAAATCCGTTTGATGTATATATATATTAAGCACCACGAGTGTTTTACTGAGGAAGTTGTAAATATTATTGTGTAATAAATATTTATAGTTAATTTCACCTTTAACTAAGACTTCGTTTCAGTCTATACTATATGTATATAGATAGGTGTCATGTCTGTGTGGTAAATTGGCTCAAATAACGTACCCCTAGACAGAGAGCCAAGAGATCTCATACGAGAGATACTCCTCACATATATATAAAGTCAAATCACCACAATGTGCTAGCCAATGCCTTGATGAGGCTTTCCTGTGATGTGCTAGCCAAGGCCTTGATGAGGCTTTCCTGTGATGTGCTAGCCCAGGCCTTGATGAGGCTTTCCAGTGATGTGCTATCCAATGTGATTATGCTCAACCTTAAAGAGAATGAATCGATTGTTTACTTAAATAAATATTGTGTCAAACTTAAAATATGATTGTGATATAAAATTTTCTAATTTGTATTTTTTAAAATGTTAAGGATACATGACTTGAGTTTGTATGCCCCGGTACCTCTGTTGACAAGGAATTTTGAAGAAGTTTATATTTTCATTAACTGGCACACCTCAGAACTTGTAGCACCTGAGAACTTTGTGGAACACCTGAGCACTTTTTTCACCACCTGAGAACTTTGTGCAGTACCTGAGAACTTTGTGTGGAGCGCCGAGAACTTTGTAGAATCCACTCTCAAACAAGGAAAACATAAGAAATACAGGATTTTAAAATATCATTTATTGCAATTGTTTAATAAATAAATAAAAGTTTCTTGTTACAGTAAAAATTTCACATAAACCCTTGTAACTGATCCTACAAGAAATGTTTCATCAGATTTCTACTAACACTGAAGCTATGTGACAAAATTAAAGGATACTACAAGGTTAAAGATACAACCCAAACATATTCATGCAATATAACAAGAAAGAAATTAAAAATTCAGCTGTTATTTGAACTCTTCCCACTCTACCTCTGCAACATACATTTTAGTGAATTCAATAACTATCTTTTTTGTGCCCCCCCCCCCCCCCCCGTAAATTTGTCTAAATGAATACTGCTTATTTTTTTGTTGTTTTTCCTTGAAATAAAGCTGGTCATTTTGTTTAAACATTTAATAAATAAATAAATAGGGGAGATAAAGAAAAGTATGGCAGATAAACTAAAGCTAAGTAGGGGAGATAAACTAAAGCTAAGTCGGATAATAATTTAATAAATCTTAATAATTGACACCCTTATACCATACCAAACATTTAACATGGTTTAATTAGACACGAACAATTTGTTTCAATTTAACTAACAATATATATTAAGCTTTAATGCACAAAGAGACGTTTTGGCACATGTCTTCATCAGTATAACATCAAAACATTAAAATAAGTATTAAGTAATTTTACTTGGTATGTACAAGTCTATGCATTTATCCTACCTGAAAAGGAGAAAAAATAGGAGTGGATGCAAAAAAAAAAACAGACAGAAACGAAGTAAAGAAGAATGGAAAGGAAGTGATTTGAAAAAAAACAGGAAAAAGACATGACAGTTACGTAAAATTGTGGATTTAGTTTATCCCGTATAATTTGTGCATTTTGTAAAATTATTATTAAAGCTTAACATATATTGTTATATAGACACAAATATTTTTGTGTCTAATTAATCTATTTTAAAGCTTTATCGCAGTCCAAAATGTTATAATTAATTACCACTGATGATATAAAAAAACATGAAATATATATACATTTGAACAGTCACTTTGCCTCTTGGATGATGCCTCATACATAATACAAAGGTCCTCAAATTTTCACAGGGACATAATCATTAAATAACTTTTAAACCCAATAACACTAGATTTAATATTAATTATACTTGTAATAACCGTAATCAGATTTGCTTTTCAATGGGTTTCCTGGCTATTTAATAGTTTGTGCATGTTTACAGCTAACATGCTTTTCACAATTCTATTTGATATTAAGAACAAAAGTGATTTTTAAATCATGTTGCCTAGAACAATAATAAAAATTAAATTTAATTTTGTGATTGAAAATTCTGAGGCCCTTACTGTAAACAGAAAAACTTAAGTGATGTCAAAAGAATATACATTTTAAGAAAATCTCTACCTGGTATAAATGTACAAGTTTATAACTTTACCAGTAGACAAAAATCTTAAAGCACTTTATTTGGTTCTGAATTTGATGTAATACAAGCTTGAGAACTTAAAGCAAATTCAGATTAGTTTGACCTCTCTTCTCTCTTCTTTCAAAATTCAAACTTTCCACAATTCATCAACTTGTTTGTACTCAAAATTTTCAAAACCAACAGTTCCCCTAACTGCCGTAATGGAATTTGTTGAACTTTATGCTAACATTATTTTAACACAGCCAATGGTAACAACTTGGATAGGTTAAGATAGCAGGTCAGTTTTCCTTTGCCGCCCACCCCTTCACTTTCAACCAGGCAACTTTATTTTTTGTCCACCCATTTGTCTGTGGCTTATTCCTCTTGTCCTTTCGTCCTCACAGTCTATACAATGACAGTCTTCCAAATCTTGGTCTGCAGCTAAAGAAATATCATGCCACGAAAGAGTGCAAAGATGAACGGACTTTTGTTGAAACAGTAACTGGTCAGTGATTTGTTGTGGCAATTTAAATGTCATCACTTCCTTTTCCTTATTGACGCGAGTTGAACACGGTCGTAAAGTTAATACACCACAAATAAAAACAAAGGAAAGCAAGGAAAGTGAATGTGGGCTAAACCATGGAAGGCAATCAAGTACAGATGGGGCATCACAAACTTCGTCTTCCAGTTTTATTTTGAGCTCCGATTCATTTGACAGAGTAAACATGTCATAAGAGGTAAAAAATTTATTCACGATGAAGTACTGAGCTATGTCATCATGACCCGACAATAAGGCTACACACAATGGCGAAATTGGCATCTCATGGTGATTGAAGTTGAAACAACTTTCAGAGCATCTTCTATCAAATGGAGGACACCCGTTAATAACCATGAGCCTCACAATCTTAGCCTCACCACGCGCAACCATTTCATGAAGGTAGGACTGATCTGTTTTTGACAGCGTCAAATCTGCTCCATTCTTGAGTACACACTCAACAATTGTGAAATCACTTAAGCAATTTTGAAAGGCGTATGTTAACGATGTCTTACCATCAGATCCCATCCTGTCAACTTTTGCCCCTCGATTGATTAGCAGTTTAGCAGTCTCAATCTCCTTGTTTTTTAGAGCATACATGAGGGCTGTGTATTTCTCTGAACTTATAGCATTCACATCTGATTTCGAATTCAATAAACATTTGACAGAATGTATTTTACCTTCAGCAGCAGCATACATTAGGGCTGTCTTGCCGTTTCTGTCCCTTTGATTGACATCACACTGATGGTTGATAAAAAACTGAACACACTCATCATAACCCCACTGGCAAGAGAGCATAAGTGCGGTAGCGCCCTCACTGTCTGCTTTGTTGAAGTCGGCTTTCCCTTTCATCAGCTGAAGGATATCCAGGTGGCCTCTGTCTGCTGCATACATGGCGGCAGTCATGCCGGTCCTGTCGACCGCATCCACTTTGGCCTTCCTTTTGAGAAGCACTTCAACACATTTGATCTTCTTATGAGTGACTGCAAGGATTAAAGGTGTTTGTCCATCATCATTGATTCGAAGATCAGGAATGCAAATTTGTTTTTTTAACAACCTATTAACTGTTTTACTGTCATCTCTTTTAATTGCCTGTATCAACTGATCTGCCGGTATCAACTCATCTTTCGGTTCAAACATGACCATATATTGTTGACTAGAACTGTAGCACTGTAAAAAAATTCAATTTGTAATTGTTTCATAAAAAGTCTTGAAATTGTATATTAATGCTTGAGTTTTATTTAATGTTTATTCCAATTCAATTATAAACAGCAAGCATTTAAAATTAAGTTGTATTTGAACAATATTTAATGGAAAAATGGACAACTATTTCTTTAAAAAAGGAAATTTGGCTTATCTTAGCGCAAATTTTTTTTTCAAAAAATGGTTTTTGATCTCCAAAGGGGTAGTAAAATGATTTCAGAGTGGGGGGGAAAGGTGGAGGAGGGGGTGTATTTTGTTATTTGAAAAATATGGCTGTCAGCTCAAAGTGTTGGGAAGTACCATCTTGAGATAACATGCAAAAAAGTTAACTGACTCACAGTGAAAATAATTAATTTTGACACTGGTCAGGTTAGTTTACATTCAATTGTGGTAACACTATGACCCTATGATACTATGATGAGCATTGACGTTTTTAATAATTTAAGACCTATTGAAATGAAAATGGGGATGAGACTGGACCTAAACCTTAAAGTGAAAGATGCCTTATAATATCATTAATTTGGTTAATATTGTATTTTAGATCATTAATAATTATTGATCATATCGGTTTTTTAATTATTTAATTATAAATTATAAGCTTGTTACCTTCCTTTCAGAGGTGTCAGTACATAAAAACAATTTTGGTAGGTTTATCTAATTACAAGAGTATTACCATAATTATTTAGTAATATATTATTTTTAAAGTGAAATTTGATAAATAATTTGAAATAAATTAATTAAGTCGTTGTGTTCATCAGAAAGCAAGATTTTAAATCTTTCATATTAATTTCACTTTTGATTGTGTGTTTCTGAAAGCAGCTAATTGGACCACTTCCCATCAACATATCCAGCTGTAATTTGACACATAGACTAGTGGCCAATGACAACACATTCTATCAAATTTTCAGCCTCCCAATCAGTTTACCCTGTTTTTCAAGGGGAAGATAAAGGAAATATGATGACACTGGTTTCACAAAATAAAATTCCCAACAACTGTACTAAATGAGATTCTTTAAAAAATTATTGCAAGTGTGTTTGGTGCCTAACATTCTCTTTTTTACTTTTATGAAATAGTTGGTGAAATATATCTGTGGTGTAAAAGTGGGTGGGTCATTAGATATTATAAAGTTCAGACATGTGAAAAAAATGTGCTGTTGCAAGCCTTGGGGAGGGAGAGAGGGGGCGCTAATTGAGAGTCTAATAAAGTGCATAACATGTATGCATGTTTTGTCAACTTTTGAGTCCTCCCTCCCATTGCTCAGTATTACTTTATAATATAAAGGAATTATACACAAAGCTTTGCTTTTAGGGGTTGTTTAATTATTATTAATATCATTTTTAAATAAAAGTGCTCTTGTAAAGCTCACAAAAGTTCATGCTGTAAATAAAAAAAGTTTCTGAAGATTTATTTTTTTGTGTGTCAAAAAAAATATTAAATTGAGATTACAAATTTTTTATAATTATTAGTGGCAGGGTACAGGTAATTAGAAGGCAGACAATACTAAGTAAGTATAATTAAATATTTATAGGCAGTGGCGTCACTGGGGAGGGGGTTGGGTGTGAGGATACAGGGTGACGTCCTCACAGGGTGACAACCACGCTAGTGATGCCTCTGTTTATACTTCATAAGTACTCCAGGCCAGCGTTCTATAAATTATTAAAAGTAGTGTACCTCAGTCCAACTGACTCATTAGATTAGACTTTCTTAAACTTAAGTTAGTAAAGTAAAGATCACTTGGTGTTTTTTTTTTTTCCAGTTAATTATTAGCCTTGCCTTCTAACTCCTATGGCCTATGTATATTGAAAGGCCTATGTCCTATCCTATAACTATAATAGCCTATATAATATAATACTATATATGCTACTTTCACCTATGCCTATACTATAACATTCATTGTATTCTTTTCTTACATTTACATCTTAATCTTATGCCTTGTGCCAATTTTTATCACCACTTTCAAATATTTCTTAGCAACAAAACTGTGCACGTAAGTAGGTCTACTTTAAGTGAATTTCAAACTATTAACACAAAATACAATAATAGGCCCACACTGCAAACATCAGACTGTTGTTTAGTCTGCTGACACTTCTAAATGCTAAGAAATGGAAATTTGCCAGGTTTTTCCAACCTTGTTTAAGTGAACCCCATTTAAATTTTATTTTACTCTTACATTTATCTAACCCAATTTAACACAAAAGGTAACAGGCACTGAAATTTATCAAAATTGTTTTTTAAATGTTAATACTAATACATCTTAATACTTAATATATCTATTTTTTTTTTTTAATTTTACTGTGCGTTGTCGGGTCTTGATAATTAACAACTTTCAAGCTAATGAAATGCATTTCCTAGAAAACCGGAAACGGTCTATAAATAAATGTTAACGAAATCAATTCACCGGTAACTCTGGGAATACATTTTCCATTTTAAAGTTAACTAAAATTCTTTGGACTCAAATAAAAGAAAAGATGTTTAAGGGGCCGTCCATTAACTACGTCAACAGTTTTAAGCAATTTTTGCCCCCTCCCTCCTTGTCAACAACTGTCAAACTTTCAGTGACCCCCCCCCTAAGTAATTACGTCAACATTTGTAAACACCCCCTTCCAAATATTTTTTTAAAATTTAATGAATTATAATATAAATAAATATATAAATTCATTTTGCTTTGAGATGATCTTTTTTAATAACACAGAATTGTAGGAAAATCATTTTATTGCATCTTTAGCTTGTTAATCAACAAGTTAAAAAGTTGTTACACTTAAATTTTATAATGCAGAATCAATGAAAAAGTTGAAGAACAAATAAAATTGTTCAAAAGGAACGGTTGAGGCGACAACACTAGACACATTTGTGTCTATTGCCTCAAGCCTTCAAACCCCCAGTGCATGATTCCCTCACAAAGTGGCACTGGAAATCTGTGAAATTTCCTCATCAACACCAGGAACAGAAACATTGCAAATCCCATCTACATGCATAGGAGCCAAAATGATCAATAAATTGATCGTGGGCCCTTAAGATATAGAAGAAGAAGAAATTGTTTGTGGAATTAGAAATATGATTACTGTCATTATAACTGACAATTGTAGCATAGTTTCTAGCTGCTATCATCTTCCCAGGGAGTAGACAGGTGTTACTCTATCGTAACAATGGGCATTAGTAGCTGATTTATTATTTTCATCTTGCGGAAATGATATACCGGACAAGTCAACATCATCCTCATCTAACCATTCCGCACTTCAAATAGAAGCATTGTCAGTATGAGCAAATATTGCCATAAGTGTCAACTCCTAACGTCTTCTGGATTGATTACATTCGTCAGTTCTTTCATACGTTGAAGCGTCGTACCATTCTAACTATCAATTAACAAACTCAACTCCTTTTGATAATAACTATAACTTTAATATCTAAGTAAATATAATAAACATCCTATCACTCCAAGGTTCCACTCAAGACTGCCGCACGACTACAACATACGTCACAACACTGCATAGACAATACGTCACGACTCAGCATTAAAATACGTCATAAAGACAATGGCGGGAAGAGCGTTCACTAACTATAATAGTCAAGCGCGGGAAAAGCGTTCAACAACTAATGAACATAATATTGAGTCGCAACAATTCCTAATGAACGCTCATACTCGACA